GCTGGTGTTTTCCCTGGTTTTTGCAACCTTTGCAGAGCTTCAGTTCTGCAGCACCCACCGAGCACCGAGAGAAACATAGAGCAACAAAGAAAACCAATGAAAAATAACGAGCGACAATGCAAGAAAGTGCGGCCCAATAATGCTCATCGACTCTCTGCATCTCTCGGACATGTCTGATGATGATACTGCTGAAAGGATTTAAGTTTGGTGGGGGGGCTGAGGGGGGGGGGCTAAGGAACCTTTAAAAAGGGTCCTGAAGGACTGCAAATATGAGTTTGAGGGCCTCTGGAGACCCTACACCATGAGGAACCTACACCATAACATTGCTAGTGTTCAGGCCCCTGTAACCTGTTGTAGGCAGCAACACCTTCTTTGCGTTAGGCTACCGCCACTTGGGAAGCACATCAGCTGTGCAGAGCCGTAAGGTTTTAGCCGAAACTATGGTGTGAACGCATATGAAGCCTCAGTTTGTATCTCATTCATTGGGGTAACCCCTGCAAGAAGCGCATAACCGACTATCAAAGAATTTGGCTGGTATGCCTTAAAACCTCCTACATGCAGTTTCCATTTTGTTCTCCATGCTCTCTTCCACTTGATTTTCCATGATTACGGAAATCTTGGCAATAATCTAGGTTCCCATGGTAAGGTGATCAAGCAGACATAGATACAGATGCCTCGGTGTGGGGCGGCGCTCCGGAATCCAGCAGCCGCGTGAGAGCCTTACTGTCATCTTGCCATCCTTGATGCCTAAGCTCTACTACAGGGGCCTAAATAACTCCAAGACCATTTGAGGTCCATGTGAGGCACCATTTATAATTATACAAGGAATATGGAACCATAACATTGGTAACTATTTAGGCTCCTATATTAGAAGGGGGGCTCCCTAAATGAGGTCTTTGTAACAGGATTTTTCAATTAATAAGCCCTTCCGGGAAAGGTTTGGTGTACTTCTACGTCATCCTATGCATGCATCTAACCTATCCTGCTCAGCTTGCAATCTAGCCCTGAATGTCTGCTTGCAAGGGTTAACTAGAACCATACTTACTTGGCATGAAGCTTCTCCAACATCAGATTAAAAGCTCGCCAAGTAAGTATCATTTCGTCATCTTCGCGAGGACCACGCGCTTGAGGAAGACCAAATCTTTACAACCTACTCCTAGCTTTCACTCTGCTGATCATCCACTCTCATATACACAAGGTGAGAGACAGAAACTGCATCAGGAGACCTCCCCCAAGGAAATCCTATACAGACCCGTAATGGGCCATGTAAATGGATCAAGGAACTTGGACATCGCGCTGGAGCAGGGCATCGACTGCGGAAACGTTGCTGGCCTCCATGCAATGTTTGCTACCCCTGCAGGTTTTCAGGGTTCAGGGCGTTCTGCTCGGGTCATCCGAATGGCGTTGGAGCTAAATCAGGACAATGGGCTTCAGGTTTGAAGGTCTTGCTAGCAGCTGGAATCTTAAGCGGGTGAGATCGCAATGATCCGAACGTCTCCCAAGCCTGCAGCCCATGCTCTGTTGACAACTTTGCGAACATCCATTCACAGCACCTGCCTCCTGATACCTTTGGTCCTTCGGTCGCTCTTGCATCTTGCCTGGGTATGACAACTCATAGGCAACACTCAGAATTGTATCTTCGGAGACATGAGCCCCTTACTGCCCAGAAGCTGTGCTTGAAGGCACCTGGCCTGTGAAGGGTTCCAGATCTATTATCCGCGTCAAGGCATCGCAGCATCACCCACAATTCGGCATACAGACAAACGCTTAACTCCATTCACCTCCCAGCATTCAGAGTCCGCGAGATCGGACCACGAAACGAGCGATGGATGCAGGCATATACTCCGAACATAATTTGAGATAGGTATCTTATGCAGAGAGTAGGGGTTGTGAGCAGAAGTTTCAGTAGACACCCTTTCCATCGGAATAGCTGAACATGTCAAGGACGCATCCGGATGTCAGCCGCTGACCCAAGCTGACTTACAACTCTTGAAGGGGAACAGTATCCACCCATATGAAATCATATGGGTAACTATTTCCATATGCAAACAGCTGTATGGGCTATTCTTTTCATTGTTACTACGTGCTCAATAAGGCTGCCTGGATATACTTGGCGTCCTATTGCACATCTGTAGCACTTATATGTTATGACCTTTGGTCAAGCAACATAATTGAAATGTGCCCCTCACGGCGTTTGGGATGACCCAAAAGAAAGTTCACAATCTGAGTTACCCTCAGTCTTTAAATCTAATAGTAATTTCCATTTTCTTTTCCATTATCCCAATATAACCCCAATATAACCCCATATACTATAGTACCCACCTTTAAATCTAATTTATGGCCCAGCTGCAACTCCCAGCCGACTGATGTCCACCGTAGCCTCCCATAGCATCCTGGCTACTGGCGACCCTCCGCCAGCAGTCCCCATCTTCCCAGTCGATTGTCTCACCATCCGCACTCAGATATCCTGAATTGATTTGTGGAGGCTTCACGGTAAAGAATCCCAAGGACTTCGGTCTATCCCAAGTTTGCAGAGACACTTATGGCATTCGCCGCTTAAGATGCAGTCCCAAATCAGCGCGAGCGTCCGCGGACGTCTTCGTAGTCGGTGATGACTACACAGGTCTCTGCATTCAACACCTTCAGCTTGGCGTTGAGGCTTCCTTCGTGGAAGACGTTCTTGCCTGCCAGGTCACATCCTAATGAGCCCTTGGCTTTTCAAAGCCTCAACCGTGTCAAGCATTCCTACTAGCTGCTGATTGTCAATGATATTTCCCTTCTTCTGACATGTTGTCCCACGGTACAACATCTGTAGGAGCCAACCTTTTACTGGGAGAGTTACCGCTCTCATTCTAGGAGCTAACGCAGCGACTGGGATCTGTTTCCTGTGTCCTTTGTTGAGCGGGCATGTTGAGTCCAAGGCCCCTCATCGGTCGTCTCATCTCTGACTGTGCGGCTGAAATCAACATAGCAGTTCATGATGTTGGAATAAGCATCTGGCGTTTGGGCCAAACGAAGAACATGACCTAACTAGTTCAATATTAAACGGGCACTTAGAGCCAGTGGACGCCATACACTACCTTTTACGAAGTAACAAGCGGCCTGAAATGATGACCGTGGTGGAGCTGGTGTTGTTCTCGGTGGCCATGGTAGCTTCCTTGCTGAAATTTCTGAGATGTCTCGAAGCGAGGAACTTATATGAATATATTCCCATGTTCCCAACTACCCCCCCCCCCAGTACGATTATGGATACATAATCAACAATGGGGTTTCCCTAACGTAGTAAATTTAGAAAGTTCCTTAACGGCAACCCAGTATAGTCCTTGCATATCCCCGAGGGCCCTCAGCCTAGAGCGTCTGGATGAAGCCGCTCATCAACGTTCTACTTTTGAATTCAAGCGCCTGTCATTTGTCTTTGTTCATATTCGTCGTACATTCACGTACAATCTGGGTATGCTTGGCAGCCCCCCCCACACATAGCATACCCTCACTTGCCATCCAAGTTCCCAAAATCCGTCGAATGATGCAGGAGATATTTGGTCCAGCGCAGCAGGAGCGCACTGCTCCACATCGTCCGGATTAGTGGCCTTTTCTGTCTTGAGGGCACATGTAAAATTGGGAACCGCTGACGGCATTGCGTCTTTGAGTTGTGGGATTATCCAGTTCGCAGGGCAGTCATGATCTTTACGCATTGATCAAGTGCATAATATACCGGCAGCATGGAATAGTCAATGAAGTTTGGAGCGATCTCGATGCTTCATACCCAGTTGATCGGGGCAGGGAGCCATGCGCAACATTTTGTGGAAATGTACATGTCTGAGAAACATCGGCAGCTTTGTTTAGGCACTGCCTCTTGTGCAATATCTGACAAGGCGCAGTGGGCGTAGATTCAAACATATGCGTGGTCTGCAAAAAAGAATGCATAATGCAACTTGGCGAACGTCTTGTTGAGAGTACAGAAAGTCATGATTCGTCTGGCTTGCAATTTATACTCGATAGTCTAGGGTCTGGTGTGTGTTTGCAGATTGTGCGTCCCATGGTATGTGAGATTTGCCGGTCCTGTCTGATCCTGATAACCCCTCAACATGTCTGCTATGGCTTCTGTCTGCTCTTCAATTCACTCGGGCATAACGATGCACCCTCCATCCTTGAATTCACACCACACAAGCTACAGTACTATCTGTCCACAACCTCAAATCAGTTCTTGAACCATATGCAGACTAGAGGCATACTTCCATCTGCTCGGCATTGCAGGCGATGGCGCACCGAAAGCTCAAGGCCCAATCTGAGAAGTGATGTTACAACAAAAACCTATCTGAAGGCTTCTCAACAGTGGGTGCCCCTGAAACGCTGGAGATACATTGGGATTCTGGGAGATCATAGAAGTCCACCCTAAATGGGGTTCTTTGGATCTCAGCTAACAAGAGCAAACAAAAATGCCATTCTGCAGTTTTCTAGCATGAAAGCAAGTAATATTTGCTCCGCAACTTTTTCGCGGGATAAGTGCTAATCTGGATATCTGTGCTACCGTGGCCAGGGGCCAGGGGCCAGGGCCAACCCCGGAATAACTGGAATCGGCATAGGTAAGGATTCCACAAGCTGTTCCAAGTGCCTGCTGGGGGTATTCACATCTGAGCTTGCGGGAGATCTTAGAGATGTGTGGACGGTAAAGTGTAGTAGCATGCGGCTTCGATTGCCCTAGATCCTGGCTATCTGATCCTGGCCGTCAAACATGCGAATGCGGACAGAATTGATGACTGCTGGCAGGTGCTGCCTGGATTGTGTGGCCACTTCAGGTAGCCCTCGAACCCAAGACAAGTTCCTTTAGGAGCCCCACATGGTCGCACAGAAACAGGGCATGTTCGTGACAATCACCCCTTCAGCACTTCAAAGCCATTACAGGATCCCAGGATGCCCCTATAGTGAGTTATACTAGGGTGTATATGTATGTACATATGTATATATGGGTTACATTGGGGTAATGGAAAACAACATGGAAACTACTAATGGGGTTTAGGACTCAGTAAAACCAAAACTGCGCTTGGCCATCACCGCCTTCATTACCATTGCTTGTGTTTTCGTCAACAGCAGCACTGCGGGCATGCCAACTTCATAAGCCCGTACCAATGGCCTGAAGCCGATGCGTTAGTCCACAAAAAGGTAATACAAATAAAAACGGAAAGTATTAAACATAGTAATGATCTTACTAATCATAGTAAAAAATATTAAACATAGTCATTGGCACGTACTGTTGTGCTTTGTTTGGCGCCGCGGCGGGACATCACAGCACCTAAAAGGAGCCGTCAATGACCATACCATCGGTTCAGCTGACCAACAATCTTTCCGGAAAACAGAAGGTTTAGGTTTATAATATTGGGGTTATGTAGGGAGAATGAAAACGGAAATGGAAACTACTATATGCAGGTCCTAGATGCCGAAGTAAACCGCCTGATGAATGGCAACTCATTTGGAAGAGTCTCCCCATTTTTGGGTCGGGGTCTACGTGACCTTGCTGGAGCACACATTGTTTCTAGGTCTCAAAGGCCACAACCCCGTTGCTATCGACGTATTGCAGCTCGGACTATTTCAGCCTACGTCGCACCAACGTTTTGCCAAACCCACGGCCCTGGAAGGACAACTCGACCCTGCAGAAGATTGTTTTTGACAGCTGCTTCTCTGTTCCGGTCGGCCTTTGGCCACCAAGCCTGTACAACGCTGTCATGCAAAATGAAATTTGTGTGGGTCCTGCGGTTTGAGTCTTGAGTGTTTAGGTTGTGATAGGCTACAGCAACAAAAGCTTGAACGTGATACTCAGGTTTACGTTGGACAGAAGCTGACAGTTAAAATCCTTAGACTTCAGGGTCGCGGCGGTGAGAGCGACTTCCTGATCTAAATGCATTAAACACAGTGGTCGCGACTGTCCAGTGGCAGAATCTACCAGCATTGTCCAGATGCTTTCTATAGACCAGTCGTTGCAGTGGTGGCAGTGCTACATAAGCAGCAGCAGCACGAGTAGTAGAGGAGGAATAACAATCGTAGTAGAATCGTCATGGTACAGTACTGCTTGTGGTGGCAACTGTGGTGGTAGGGATCCGCTTCTGAGCCTGAGCATATCAACCTAAACTGCGACTCAGTGTGCTTGCGTGTTTCAAGTTCCTCTATTCGCGAAAGCCTACGACCTTAATGTAGAGGTCTAAGCACAGGAAAAATTACAGCAATGGCTATGCCGAACCAACATGGCGGGTTCAGTCTGCAAAGGCTCGCTGGCTCCTGCAGGTTCTTCCAATCACACGAAATTCTCACCGCAGGAACTCAAGCACATAAAAGGCTCCTGGAAATATCTAACTCCAGAAATGAACGATAACTTGAAGAGCTTTCCTCGATCCCAAAGTGCAGGAACACCACTAGGGACGTCTGAGTCTAGCCGCGAGCTATATGAAAATTCAGGTCCCTGCGCTTTTGGCACCCGTTTCCATGAGCATACCTAGCTGCAAGCACCACAGCTAGAGGAATACTCAACGGCAACCTCACCCTGAGCAAAAAACACCAAGAAGTAAACTTCTGGAACAAGAACGTTGAGCGTTGCGAGGCATTATGCCGACAGAAGGGTTAGCAGCTGTAATACGGTCTCGAACCTTTCAGTGTCTAGCATCATTTACGGATGAGGTGACGTTCATACAAAAAAAACGGGAGTTCCGCCCAATATCTGCAGGGAGCTGCTTGTGACAAAGTTCTGCTACACCACCTTCCCCGCAAGAATAAATACCCCATTACCACTGATACAGTACTAGCTATACCTTATAAGAACATGTTTAAGATTCGGAAATCGCAGTATGTAACTTGTCTGTAAATTCGAACCATATTATGTCTAAATTCTCCCCAGGCAGGTCCTCCGACCCAGCAACAGAGGCATCTTACCCCTCAAGGGCAGGGCCTCGCATGGTTTACAGGGAAGCAATTCAAGTTTTAGGGTTCCAGGCCTCAAGTTTCTTGGTCTGTTTTTCTTGAGGTGCTTGGTGGCGGCTGTAGGTCCAAGACTTTTGGGGTTTGACCTTAAGCTTAATTGTATGGAACGCCCAGCAGAAACCCTTGTGCACTGTTGAAGGAGCATTAGGGCCGGAAACGCCGGCCCATTCTTGTTTTGGGACTCTCATTCTGAGGAGGCAGTATGAGGGCCGAGGCCGCGTTTACCGGTATGCGGAGCTTATGACATGTCATGTCCAGACAGGAGCAGTGTCATGCTTCGTTCTTTGACCAGGTAATAAATGACCCATCCATTCATGTAGGGTCCACTCAAGCTAAAGCATGTAGAGAGGATCGCAGGGCTGAACTTAAACATGTATGGTTGGAATCATCCGACAATGGCTTTCTTGAGAGCAGGCGACCAGAAGCCCTTTGGGCCCGTGGCGCGTCCGCAAGCGTTTCACAGTAACAACAGCAAGAATCGTAATAATCAGAATGGTATTCAAATTAATGGCAGTTTGCGTACTTCTGCAAGACCAAGGACGTGTGAAGGGCAAGCTCGGTAGGACATACGCATGTACATGAAGTACATGTGACTGTAGAACAATGGCGTAGTTGCTCATTTGCTTACGGTCTCCAGAAAAGGACATGCCATGTACATATCAGAAAAACTCTGCTATGGCGCATCCTGTGAACTCTGCTCTAATCCTAGAACTGACCAGTATAGACTGACGTCAACCCTGTTATCTCAATATAATAACCCCAATATACTATAGTAGTTTCCATTTTTCCATTATTCCAACATAACCCCTATCTAACCCCAATATACTATAGTAACTATAATAATAGTTTCCATTTTATTCTCCATTATCCCCATATAACCCCAATATAACCCTAAACTCCCTTATCATCATACAGTAATATCCAGTTTCTTTTCCATTATCTCTACCACAGGTGGAATTCAGATCCCTGAGCCATGGCCACCTTTGAGGGACACGTTTACTGAGAGCTTAGATCTCGAAAAATCTTGGTCTCAATGCCCTGGCTGATGGGAGCAGCTTTGGTCCCTAAATTGCGAACATAAGCTAGATAGATTGGCTTAGACCTCACAATGATGAGCCTTGAAATAGATTGCTGACTAGCTGGATTTGCAAGAGTAGTAGACCACTACACAAAGAAGAAACT